ACGTAGAGATGCGCTCTTACACCTCCTGGCTTTGTAATGCACACAGGTCCCTCCGCAGGTGCTTCAGTGTTTTCAAGGACAGCTGTGCACAGAGCGATTCAGCCAGATGTGTGAGCCCTTCCAAGATTTGAGGGACTGTTGGTAAAGTGAAATTCTACAACCGGCTGGCTCACGACAGCGGCCATCTGGTTGGGTAGCCTCCCTTACCAAACTGTGAACCGTTTCTCAGTCTGATTAGTTAATTGCTGAGTGAATCAAACACTAAGTCACGGTACAATATGATACATTATTAGTTATCCTCATGGTTTTCTCTCATTGCTCATAACTCATGCACCAATTAAAAATAATCTGGAAGCATCTTTCTTATTCACTTCCAGTCAATGTGAAGGTGACCAAACATATATCATGGAAAATTCAAACACTAGTCACTGGGAGGTTCAGGCAGGAAAGGCAACAGCATAGAGACTCATGGAAACTTTACAGTTCTTATACTAAAGTGAGCAAAAGAAAAATATTGTATAAAAACTGAAAAAAATCTCCTTAGAATTCCTTTTGGAATAGCTATTCTATAGTTCTTTTATCAAAGGGAAAAAGTTTTAGATAGACAGCTCTAGACCATCTGTGTGTGCATGAGTGTGCACACGTGTGTACAGGTAAGTACAAGGCAAAGTTAGGAAACTTTAGTATCGTGTCAGAACTTGTTAAACACTGATTGTTGAGCTCCATCCCCAGAGTTTCTGATTCCAAAAGGGAAACTAAGGGCAATCCAATAATCTGTATGTTTAACATGTTCCCAAGTATAAACATCAGCTGAGACTGATGGAACCACACTTTGGAATCACCAGTATAGGGCAGTCTACTAAAACAAGTCGTTTCATTTCAGGAAGTCTGCAGGTGTTTAGAAGCGCCATTCAACGATTTGAACTAAGTTACTACTGCTTTCTAAACTGCCAGTATTTTGGCTTCAAATGCCAGTGTGCAGCTCTCTTTTAACCATCATGGGGAATCCTTTTCTGCTATACTGTCAAGTCAGTAAATAAACACCAATCCTGCGTCTGATCCAGGCTGGGGTGCTCTGGAGCTTAAGAAGTATGACAATCCTGAACTGAAGAAACTGACCAGCTGCTGTTCCGGGCAACAGAGGCAGGAATCCCTGTTCCAGTGGCTCGAGTATCTACCTTTCATCCACCTTGGAGTTCTCAGCTACGTAGGTTTGTGTGCCAAGTACTGCGTACGATGTACCCCAGAATGCACAGAAGTTCTGGGCCGCTCTTTCTATTTCAGACACCCCACTAATGAGCTAGCAAAAGCGAGCTACTCCATCGCTACTGCCCTCACTGTCTCTCTCACTGTGCAAACCACACTGGCTTTTGACCGTTCTCTGAACAGCAGGCTCCACGCAGGACCTTTTCAACTCAGCATTCTCAGTCGGCAACATCGCCCAACATCTACAGGGCTCTGTTTCCTCCATGGGAGGCTGGCTGTCACCTCCACTATTCCTTACTGATTTCTCTATATAATACTTATCCTTGAGAAGAGTAAGTTTCACGGAAATAACAGCACTGTGGCTGGACCCTTGAAAGTAGCTATCATTACGAAGTAGGAAGAATGAACAAAAGTAAGGTAGACAGCAGAGAGCGAGCAAGCACCATCTCCCGATGGCTACCTGATTGGTGTAATCACACTTTGGCACCGATCAAGAGCTGGGCTCTTTCAAAACAGAAACCTTGGCTGCAAAGGCCACTCTTTAAAAGCAACTTTTTTTTTTCTCATTGAGTTTATTGGTACATTTTAGGTATACAGTACAGTTACATCCATCATTGGGATCTTGAACCTTTACATGACAGGTCTTGCTTCTCATTTTTACCCCTTGTCCCTGCCCTCCCTTTCCCCCCTTCCCTATTTACAAACACTTTATTTCCATTTTTTCATTTTCTCATATTTTTTTCCTTTTCCCTTATTTCCTTTCCCCTACCCTTCCCACTTCCCCTACACCTTTAGCCCTTTCTTCCTATTACACATTGTCAATTATACCATTAGGATCTCATCAAATAGTTTCTCTGGTGTAAAAGCAACTGTTAGTAGTGTGCTTACCCTTGTAACAGCTGAATAAAAATGCCCACAACACTGAAATATCTGTTCTTTAAAATCTGGTTACTGATAGAATGGACATATGAAGTATTGGAAAGAAGCAAAATAAAGATTGTTCATCAACAAAATTCCTTTGCTGGATGGGAACGTTCAGCTCAGTGTTAAAAAGTTGGTAAGAGTAATCCTGGAAATTCTCAGCAGACTAAGTCTCTTCAGTCTTGAGATTGAAAAGTGATCACTGAAGTTAACTCACAAAAATTATTCTTCAGGAAAAACAAACATCGATAAAAAGCCCACAATTCTAGAGAATCTTTATAAATGAATAACACTTAGCTGTTTTTTTTTTCAAATTGGAAAACAAATAATCCAAGTTTATTTACCAATTACCCAAAACAACGTGCCAGTCAAGAGAAGGGTATCAGTGCTAATGAACTATTTTCCTCCATTTATTTTGGACTAGTTAAAAATACCTATGCATAAATCAGACACACTTCTGCCCTTGTGTGAGTTGTGCAGTTTTTAAGCAAGCTTTCTGATGGCCTTTAAAAATGTATGAAGATAGGAATGGACCAAATATTCTCCATAATAAGAAAATAGTCTATGGAAAGCTGAACCAGTGTTCACATTTGCAGAGGCTACCTCAGAGTCCTGATAATCCTGTCATTAGTCACTGTCTGGAAATAAATACCATTTTATCATTTTGCTAAACAGGAAGTCTGTATCAGTACTGCTCCAAATGTATCCCCTCCTCTCCTGTACCACTTCTATTTGATTTGAGCACAACTTTTACTCATCTTTCGGTCCAATTCTTCATTACAAAAGATAATTATGCTTTCAAAGTGAACTGAATTGCAAACCTTTTTCACAGCTTTTCAGTGAATAATAAAAATGTTTAATCTAACAAAGTTTCACCCTACCACTCATCTAAATAGAAATTTTAAAACATTCTGCTTAAAGATATGGTAAAATACAGTATAGTCCTGGCTTCAAGAGGAATGAATCTTGTATGCTGAGCAAATGAGCTTATTTGTGAAAGTGAACTTTTATGAGGTGCCTTATTAAAAAAAATAAAGGAAATTAGTTCATTTGAATTGCTATGTATCTTCCTAACATTTTAAAATGCAAATTATTGTAGTTGTATAAATGATCACCTTTTCTCAGAGGATATTTACTAGGCTTCCATATCAACTTAAAATCTTAATTCTATAGGACACTTTCATATAAAACGTTGAAGTTTGGGAAAATTTAGACTTCCAAGAGAAAATTTGGATAGTGAAAGTAGTTCATAGAATATGTATAATTCTATTTGCTTTCTCAGATTTTCAATTCTATTCATCTTAAAATTAGTTTCACAAAATGTCATATTGTAATTCAAGATCACTGCCTAATGTATTTGAGAAATGTCTGGTAACTATCTTATTAAATAATTTTCATGATTCAAATCTCCTGTTACTGTTTTGATGCTGGCTCTTATTAAGTTACATTTTAATGCAAAAACAAAACTAATCCTTTTTCAAAAGCACTGAGATTTACCACTTTTATTTTGAAGATGGTGAAAGCCAAGTAAGGGTAGGCTAAAAGATCTGTCAAACTGTGGTTGAGTCTCTTATCTATAACAAGATAAGTAATTCTTTTGTATCAAGCCCTATTACTCAGAAAAAAAAAAACAAGCTCTATCAGGCTGTAATTGATGTTCATTTTATCTAGAGCCAACTGAAGAGAAAATTAATGGAATACAGCCATAAAATTCATGTAAAGAAAGAAAAAATAAGCAGCTCCTGATGAACTGAGATATAAATAAGATTGATTAGTTCTTTATGTGCCCAGCTGAATATGCCATTTAAACACAAGGACTAAGCTTATCTCATGCTTATTTTCTTCAAGTAGCTGCAGGTAGATAAAAAAAGATACAAGCAGAATCTACTTTCTAAGTACACAATCTAGTATCACAAGTAGATCATAATGGCACCAAATTCACCTTTTTGTAAAAGGAAAGTTTTACACCGACAGTAAATGAAAATGAAAACACAACCTCCAGGCACACACATGAACACCCACGTACAGACACACGGTGAAAGTGCTTCACATCGCACCGGGCTGGGGCTGGACATGTACGGTGACAGTGAACGGCTGTCTCCTCGCGCCCTCTGTGCCCGATCACACACCTCCCGTCGGTTTCGTTTCAGCACCTCAGACTCACAGGATATAAAGCCTTTCTTAAGGAAATTCTTCAGGATCTCATGAGCTACGGATGCTCCAGACTGGTGCACAGTAATCCCTGGATCAACACCGTCCGAACTTAGATGTTCTCCATTCACGAGTAAGAAAGAACACACACGAAATTTGTTACCGGACAGTTGGCATTTGTGCTCAGGAAATTGATTTTCATGTCTTACATATACTGTAAAAAGACCTGGCTCCAGGTAATGTTTAGAGGAAGAGTACATAGTTACTACACTTGGGTTCTAACGTGCATCACTGGCTACACGCATATTTTTCTGCATCTGTGTAACAAAGGAGATATTTAAGAAAGGTGAACACATGGCCCTATACCTCTGTTTGATTAACAGACAGTTCCTCTCTGGGTGGGTCAATCCAGGTTTTGTTTTCCGAAGTCAACAGCTGAACTTAGGGAGGAAAATTTTTATAAAAGATATTCTGTATTTTTATAAAGAAAGATAAAAGAAAAGTCCATATTTATCATTCTATGTGCTTCTTAGACAACGAAAAAGAATATGCAATGAAATTACTGCTCACCACTGGTTTTAGAATATAAAATAATTACAACTAGAATATGTTTAAAAAGTTACATTATAGTGTCATGAAATCTGCCTGCTGGATAAAAAGAACAAAATGTAGTCTCACACAGGCTGATCATTTTAGAGCATAGTATTTATTAAATTTCATCATTTATGATCACTTTATAACCAAATTAACTCTGCCATAAACTTTGACATTTAAAAACAGAAATAGACTGATTTTTCAACTATTTTACTTGCATGCACTTTTCAATTCTCATGCAGTGCTCCTAATCAGGAAATACTGTACATTAAACCTTTCATATTATGCTTATTAAGAAAGAAGTTCAGGGGTTTTAAAAAAATGCCAACATCAATTCATTCTCCAAAAACTTCTCATAGATATATTAGCCACCACTTTTTCTAAATAATATTTATGGTACATTTGTCCGTAAAATGTATAATTGTAGCCACATAACAATAGTTGTTATGAAACAATAATATCATTTCAGGAAAGGACTGCAACACATGGGACCAAACACTGAAGTGAGGAGCCCAGAGGCTATCCAAGTCATGTGGTGACACCACACACACTTTCGTGTTTTCCACTCTCCATTTGGAAGGAACATGCACAGAGTTTCTTAGCAGAGTTGTCAGGAGTGCATGAAAAAATTGGCTTTCATGTCATATATGCTGAGAGAAGACTGACACCATCATGGAAAAGCAGCTGCGTTCATTATCTCTTAGGTCTGTCTATGTCATCTATAGCTGCTAGAAGTTTTTGTCTGGCTTTCTTATTGATATGGGATCCCAGGCAAACGTTTACCAGATTGGTCAACTGCTTCGTTGAATATTCCTGCTCAAAGAAAGAAAATCCAAAGTTAGTAATGGCAGACAAGTGTCTGACCAACGCAACAGAAGAACAGAAAGATATGGTATTCTGGGTCAGGGCATAGTTCTGAGTTTGACAAACCAGTGAAGAACAGTGGAAATTACAGTGAGGACAAAGAAGAAAACTTATTTACTGATCTGTAAAAGCAAAGAATAGGATGTGGTAGTACATACTTGAAATAACAAGCAATAGAATCTGCCTTCCTCTGGCAAAATAATCTGACATGCCTAGGCTTTTATCACTTAAAAGGTCACACACCTTGTTTCTGTGATATTATGAGGTTATCAAATAACTGTCATTTCAAATTTTTAAAATGCTACTGATTAAGTGTTTCTGAGACACTACATTATATAAACAACTTTCATTAAAAAGAAATCTCCAATAGAATAACAACTCTTTTAAAATACAAAATTGAATAAGGTAGTAAGGATCAGAAAGTCACTGTTTTTTAAACCTTATATTATAATCAGTAGACAGTAACTGAAGTCTATCTCCGCTACCCAAATGCATGGCTCCCGAACTGCAGATAATGCATTCCGAGGATGAGAATAAATAGAGATTCATGAGAAATTTCTGCGTACTAGTCTGGTTCTCAAGTTTGAGTTCCAAGAGGTCATACAGAAAAAAAATGGCTACATATTATGACCTATAAAAACAGAAAATCTGTTTTTATTAAAAGTACCCACTAACAGGACAGGAACGAGTTCATCTAAAACCTCAGCGAACTGCTCAGTCTGTATATGTGCTCTCGGAGGGCAGCTGCCACCACCTGGTCATTAATCTCACTTAACCAGTGGCACTAAGCAAAGGTTCATCTCACAGAGCATTAGTCTCATCACGCTGGGGAGTTTCTCTCAAATTCCCTCTGCTGATGGGAAACTATCACTGAATTTCAGATTTCAATCACTTAATGTTCTTCTAAAACACCCAGCTAAAACATTTCTGGACATTATATTCAAAGAAGATATCTTAAAATGGGTATCATTTTTGCATCAAAAAATAGATACTTGAGAGCTGTGCCTTTCACCTTGGCTACTATGTACTATTTCTGTGAGTCCCTCCCTCAGGGTGAGAGCAGAAGTGTTTCCGGTTTACTTTATTCAATGGATTCTAGCAACATTCGGCAGACCATCAATATGGGGTTAACATTTAGTTCTCAAATATCATTAGAACTGTCAGTGTTGAAGTTTTCTCCATTCTGGCTCACTGCAAAATCAATTAAATAACATATTCATGTCTACTCTCCTTCCAACCTACAATGAGCACATTCACACAAAACTGACCCAGTGTGGATGTTCCAAGCTACAGTTCATTTCCTCTCTTTAGTGTATTAGAATTCAAAAGGCTGACCCTGACAAGGTTAATACAAATAATTCCTTGTTTCTTTACCCAGATACTACTGAACTCTTACCTATGGTGTTTAGAGCCTAACTAAATGTGAACACTAGAGTTGGTGATGATTTCAACACTGTGTACTTTCATTAAATCCATCTTCATTCACATACCGCCTGTTTCACAGAGGATACATGGGGCATAAAAGCCAACCCTACACACCATGCCTAAGTGGACTATGTTAAGCTAAACAGTAATGAAAATCAGCATTCTAAAATGCACTAAATTGCATTTTTCTGTATTTATCTGTATATTCACAAAAGAAAAATAAATCTATATTAAGGGCAAACTCTAATATAGGATGCAAATTAAGCTTTAGCCATGTAAATATTATCTTCAAGTGTTAATACAACATGTCACTGTGATTAGAATATTATAGCATAAAACTTTATATTTTTGTGTAAACCAACTTCAATTGTTTTCCTATAACACAGTTATAGGAAAAACAGCTAATATATTTATGAATAATTACTGTGATAATTCAAAGGTGCTCCAAAGGATTTATTTAGGCAAAGGGCACTTTATAAATACAATCTGAAAATAATAAACTGACTCAAGTAGCCATTGTTAAAAAAGTAAATTTCCTCTCATGATTATTACAGAACAGAACACAAGAGACCAGCACAAAGGAAAAGAATAAACACCCAATGAACTGTCTTCCAGTTCTCACCCTGTGCTCTTTGATCCAGCGTTCCATGTCATTCTCAGTTAAGTAGTAGGCTTTGATATACGTTTCCACAAATTCTTTATCAGGAATAGGTCTAATATCTGTTAGTTTTTCAAGTTTCATTAAAAACTGTTGAAAATCCAATTGCATCAAAGCACGACCCTCATTACTGCACTTCTTGACGTTGGCATATCTAAGATACACAATAATGAGACAACATAAATGACAGGAAGGCTAGGGTCAGGAAAAGAAACCTTTAGTACGTGAACTTTTCTCTAAAACACATTCTGACACACTGTCAGAAATGAGAGGGTTCAGAAAAAGAGAGCATATAAGACTCAGAGGAGTGGACTAAGTTCATGCCCTGTCATTTTGATTACAAAAAAGAAGCTATTTTCTGTCTTACCTTCAGTTTCCTCATTTGTAAAGCAAAGAAATCAACCAACTTCAAAGTTCTTTTTTGCTATACAGACTATGTTCTCGCCACTCAATTAACTTAACTGTCTGCAGGAAAGTTAAAGTGGTATTTCAGTTAATCTCGCTGCCAAGTTATTTATAAAACTAAACTGAGTACTCCAAAGTAATCCTAGTTTTATAAAATTGTTCAATATTGCAACTACTGCATGCAAAGAAAACCAATGAAATAATTCTCCCATGAACACTAACCTACTTTCCATGATAAATCAATTTTACAGACTTATTCTACACCCATTGAAATACTGTACTTTAAGGTGGACTCATAATAAGCATGAATATATTAGCCATAACTGTGTAACATGTTATTACTTCTAAGTCATTCCTTCAATCAATCATACAGAGGGTGGAAAATTCAACTTCAGAAAATGAGGCATCTCCCCTAAGGAAATTTGTAAGGAAATCCAACTCAAATTATTTAGAGTAACCAAGAATTTTTTTAAAATTTCCAATAAAGTGTTATATACTAAAATCTAACACATTTTCTACTTTATTAAACAAATTTACTGGAAATACTTTTTGGTCATGATTGTTGACACAGCTATTTTCTTATAGCATTGTTGGCTTCAATATGGAATGCCAAACAGTTGTCAGTTTATTACCAGTACCTTTCCACTTTCTATGTTCTTTTCATAACAAATGAGAACTAAAGAGAAATCAGATAATGATAGTGTGAAAATTCAACTGATGTGCAATTCTAGATCACTGTGTGTGGTCTGGGAATAGCTGGCTTCAGGAATATTTTAAATGTTTTACTGATTCTTATTTCTTTTCTAGATGCTGTGAGCAGAGTAAGCAGAGTCTCTTGAGTACATGAATTACTGCTGACAGATGTGGATGGGCTTAGCAGAGGGAAAATGATGGTTAACAGGGATAGAAAGGTTATGAGGACTGACTTTGCTATCAGAAAATCAAGAGCTCACATGGCTTCTCTGACTATAAAAATTGTGCACTTGGGTGAGTTACTTAATCTTTTAAGACTTGTTGTTCTGAGTGTAGGATCCACTGATAAAGCAGGCAGAGTAACAGTACCTCTCCAACAGTAAAGGGAGGATTTAATGATATAATTCTTGGTGACAGAATGTTTGTTTCAGTAAACGACATATAGGGCTCAACAGATGTGAAGAAATAAGGATCATCATAAAAATTTTAGTGTAATAGTTATTATTAGTTTAATTTTCGATAACCAGTAGATTTTGCATTCCAAACTCATTCTAGTTCTATGTTACCAATAAGAAAATAAAGCACAGAGACAGGCACAGTGGGCTTTATGGTTTGTTCTAATAATGTTTCCAAATCTGTTTATCATCAGCTTTATCTATTCTCATCCTCTATTAGTGATAGCATATGTTGTTATTTATGTATTATATTTTATCATTTAAGAAACAGATAATGCATTCATGAAAAACTTACCCTTCCACAATAGTTCTATTAGCCAATCGTATACAGTGTTCCCAAAGTATATTAGACACAGGCAAGGGTATCCGGACTCTCTTAGAAACTTCACTTAGCCTTCTGTTAAACTGCTCAAATTCCTAAGATGACAAGAGTGGTAGCCATGCATGAGTATCACTGCCATGCCACACTGCTTTCCCACAAAAGCAGTAAAAAGAAAACAACAGAAAAGAGAAAGAGAGGGAGAGAAGGAGAGAAGGAGGTGTGGGGGGGATTTAGAAAGATCCAGAATCAAATGAAGTAAAACAAAGAGTGATCAATGCCAAAGGTAATTTGGACTCAGGGTGAGGGTTTTTTCTTTTTTTAAATGAATGGACTATGTGATAACATAAAGTACACTACCTTTCATTTCAAAATAAATGTGTCATTAATCCGTTCGACAATGTCCAAATGTTTCTACATCTCAAAATTCTTTATGGTTGTCACTATGGACTACAAGAGTTAAATTTGGCTTAAAAATATCTTTCAGAAAGCCAGTTTAAAAAAATTTTCAATAAACTTTCAACTCAAAGTTAACTACTCATAATTTGTGAATGAATATCCTCCTTAGAGAATAATCTGATAAATAATTCCTTCCTAAACATTCTTGAAAAATAAATAAATTGGTACATACCAAATGATTTAAAAGTCATGTCAGAGCTGCAAATTTTTGATACAAAGGAAAAAATATTTCCTAATATCTACAGAAAATCTGAACTTCTTTGTCTATTAACTTTTATATGTGAGTCTACTAAATATTAAAAATAATTAAGACAACTCAAGATATTATGTAAAAACAGTAGATGGTACACTCTTCAATCAATGGTCTCATCTAAATATGCTCATTTACAAACATAAACACCATTAATCTTTCCTTAGTAATATATAGTACATAAACTTTAAAAAGCCTAAAGTTGATATTTTGATTTAGTTTCTTGAAAAGAGTGGCAACACAATGTTATCAAGTTGGAATAGACATGTGTTCAAATATTCTAATTAAACACACGAGAGGGTCAGGGATTTAGCTCAGTGAGGCTGCCACCTGCCTCACAAGCTCGACATCCTGAGTTTGATCTTCAGTACCAAAAAAAAAAAAAAAAAAAAAAAAAAAAAAAAGACACAGGAGAAAAAATTAGCTGGTCTAATCATTCCTGGTTACACTAGCAAACCTCGTTAACTGTGCTATCCTGTACTCTTCTGCTACTTCTTAAATCACAATTTTTCTTTTTCTTTTTCTTTGGGACCTTGCACTTGGGAGGCAGCTGGCAGAACCACTGAGCTAAATCCTTGGCCCAATCACAATTTTTCTTACTGATTTATTTTTACAACTTCTGCTTTACTTTTAAAGACGTGAATCATCCATTCACTAGGCTAACCCTTAAAAATCAGTAACTGCTCTTCATTTGTTGCTGCATTTCATGGATCTAGCAGAGCAGCAGTATTTGCTATGGTATTTATGCATTTGCTTTGGACTTCAAGAGTCATAACTGAATGCTTTTCATTAATAATTTCAAAGATAAAGTATAAGCTCACTGTACAAAATGACATTCTACTCATTGCTAAATTCAACGTTCGAGAATGCTGGTTGTTACATGAATAATAAAACCATTCCATTAAAACACTTTTTTTGGTGCAATAAAAGGCTGCTTCCACCTCATTTAAACTTGGAAAAGTAATAGTAAAAACAAAAGTTATCACAGATAATTAACCTTTTAGGCTTAATGAAAGGCACAGGCTAAACATTGGGTTCAGGTTAATAATCTGAGTAACACTGGTTCCTCCTTATAATAATTATGTTTCTTGGAATTCAAAATAACTGAAGCAAATAGCCTTCTTCTAATATGTACACTCATGAATAGTCTTTTTTTATACCCCTGTGAGTACCATAGTTGGCATCTGCTGTGGGCTGAATACCAAGCCCTGCTCCCATTCATATGCTGAAGACCTAACCCTCTCTGGAATGGGATCTTTGGAAAGGTAATCAGATCATGAGCAGAGTCCTCATGAACTAGATTAGTGCTTTTTTTAGGCCGAGGGCTACCTTCCCCCTTTCCTTGTATGAGGGTACAAGATGGTAGTGTCTATGAGAAACTGGACTCTCCCCAGACAGCATTATTGGTCCGAACTTTGATCTAGGACTTTCTAGTCTTCAGAACTGTGAAAAATAACGATTTGTTGTTTGTAAACTACTCAGTCTATTGTATTTTGTTACAGCAGCTTGAGTGGATCGAGATGGCATGGCATAAAAAAACTAAGAATCAACTTTTCACAAACTGAATTATCAAAAGAGGGGTATCATTATTTATGTTATATAGGTCCCTTACATTCCAAATTAAAATCTCCTGGGTGCTCTGGAAACCAAAGCTTTTCCTTTAATTATCTCAAGGCCAATGATCTTTGAGTTCCAAGATGGCAAATACAGAGCACCTCGTCATGTGCTCCTCAGATCCCCACGAGAAGGAACGCCTAGGCTTTGCTTACCACGCCCCTCAAGTCTGGGGACAGCCTCACTGTCCTTCAGAAATGGACTTTAAGTTGCTGGCAGTGGAGACAACAGACCATCCGTGCTGCTGTTTTCATCTATATCTTTATCACTACTTAGGTGTATTCCCTTAAACTAACAAGGTAAGAGTGACTGTAAAATGAGACAAAAGCCAGGAGCTGAAGAGGACCAATTTCTTTTCACTGACCAAAATGGAAAACAAAATTTTTCTGAAAGATGCTTTCATCTTCTCAGATGCTCTTCTGGACACCTCATCCACTCACATCTCATTTACTTACTTCCCTCAGGCCTCCTTTCATTCATTTTATCTGAGTCCTCCTGTGACCAGAGCAAATGAATGGTACTGTTTTCACTCAGATCCTTTCATTTCCCATCTCTCTTTAGCTGGTTTAATTTTTTCACAGAATCATGCATCACTTGATATTGTATCTCCATTTATCTATTTACTCCCATCTTCCCATTGGCATGTAAATTCCCGGAGGCATGGAGGTTCTTCAATTCACAATTACATTGCCAGCACTCCTGTCACTATATGACACATGTCAGGTGAGCTATGAATAGCTACTTATACCTAAATGGAAAAAATAAAGTCCAATTCTTTCTAGGAAACTAGAAAGACTGGAGGGTCACTGAATGCAAAGAGCTCTTTATATGACACATTGCAAAAATAATGTGAAACAACGCAACCCAGAGTGATCAAGGGCATAATCTCTTGCTAATGAATATGCCTACTGAACATAAAAATAACTTCTAATTAAGTAGACGTATCTTCCTGACATCAGAATCATGGCTATTTGGGATTAAGCAGCATGAAAGTCAGCCATGATACGCAGTAATGAAACACTAACTCAACATGGGAAATCCAGGAGCAAAAATAAAATACTTATGAAGTATTCTTCAATCTAAATAAGAACATAAAACTCAGAAAGAAAGCCTAATCCAGTTCAGAGGCTTAAATACACCAAAATGCAAATGTAATAGTAACTGTAATCGCCTATTTTTAGAGTCATAGGAATGTTTCTCTCGGTAGGATGATCTGCAGTACAGATGTCTTCCAGAACACTTGCCTTTAACAGCGCATCTACATATATGTTGTGCTGTGACATGATCTCCTTTACATCCCACTTCACATTTGCCATCAGGAGCAGCATCTGCTCATAATCGATGGCTTTTCCAGCTACAATCCAATAAATTGGTTTCCGTAGTTCACTAGCAGTTGAGACTGTCTGAAATAAATTTCACAAAAACGAAAATAATTATTTTCTAAAAGTATCAAGTTTATTGCGAATGCTTCCCCCTGTTTCTAGTATATACCATAGCTGAAAATAAGAAAAACATCTGGAGAATAATTTATAATTTATAAAAATATTTTAATGTGAGGCCAAAGGCCTTATTCAAAACATAATTTTGAGACAGTTTAAAACTCAAGGCCACCGATATAAAAATTATAGAACTCAAGATTTTCATGAAGACTAGCAGTTACTGCTCCAAGTTCACTTCTCTGCATGTCCACTCCTGGGATCCTACCTCAGAATTCTAGTATCTGCCGCCTGCAACATGTATCAGCCTTCAAACTGGACTCCCTGTTCCATCTAATTCCTTCAATTCCTCTCTTCAGGCTGTCCCCAAAATACGCCCTTAAAAACATACAGCACCTGGCAGTACTGCTCAACTATCCCAAGTCCTCCACGTGTGCCCTGCGCCTCTGGCATGAAGCCCAACTTCAGGATGACAGAACTTTATGTGATTGGTTCCTGAGGTCATGCCAGTCATTTTTGTCATCACCAGCCCTCTTCCCGCTCTGCCAAGTTGAGTTTTCCCAGCTGCGGACACACACCTCACTCCCCACTTCACCTTTGGCTTGTGACACACTCCACCGCTTTAGAGTACGTTCCCAGCTGTCTCTACCTGGCCACAGTTCAGACATCACATCCTCCAGAGACTACAAGCTTCTCCCAGCCACAGCTCTCCCCTCGTCAGTAGGGGTTAAATATGCTACCACTGCTCTTTCCCCTCATGACAGCATCCATTGTACCTGCCTATAAACATGGTCTTAAAACTGGCTTTCTCACTAAACTAAAAGTTACATGAGGTGCTCAATAATTTGTTTAAAATACAGAAATCCATCAGTGAGTGGATGAAATTCTACCCAGCTCTCCCAGGGTTTGGAGACTGGACTTCAGTATACTTCAGTAGAAAAACAAAACAAAAACCCAAATGACTGGTGAGAGTCCTACCTTGCTCCCAGGTGAAATTACACAATAAAAGACCACCTCTGACCTGAGAATAGAACTGCTGCAGAAAGGGCTTCTTGACTGCGGGCATCACAGCATCCAGATGTGGCTGAAGGAACTCAAACTGTTCAGCCAGGAACACCCTAAAGCAAGTAAAGAACCACCATGTAAACAAATTACAGGATTTGGAGCCAACTGTGTTTTTGTGTAAGTAATCTTTTAAGATCTCTAAACAAAACTTTAACAATTAAAACTATTTTCTATGTTAGTGTGGATTGAACTTGACACATTCACTGACAATCTATACGACAATTAATGAATGGAACTTGAAGGAAAAGAAGAGTAACTCCAAAGGAGATAATCATGTCACCACCAGGTTTAGAGTTATGTTGTTTTGCATGTAAGATACAAGCACAGATAGCATACAAGATTACAAAAAGAATACAGTAGTTTTGAAAGATTTATTTTAAAGATCAGTTCCCATCATATAAAGCAGACTTTAGAGTTCAGATTCAGCATGTGAGACTTTTCATAAGTTATCTACACATTCATAACACACAGAAAAATGTACTCACCCAAAGCACACAGGCGAACTTCAGTGCACGAAAGTGTGCAGGAAGGGAGCCACCTGCCTGGTGAATGAACCTGGACTACAGCCCACAGATACACTGCAGTGCAGGACTGCTTGTCTCCACTTAGGTATGTGTGCCAAATTTTTTAAGTTACATTGGCCACTTTATGCAAGTTATATGCTTTAAATGAATTAACAAATTTGAGGATTTGTGAAGATGAAATATACACTTAACATAGAGCTGACAATGTAACTACAGTTTCTCTAGAATCTTCAGTCATCAATAAGGAAACAAGGTACATTGTAAGACTTCTTAAAGTCTTAACTATAGCAAGGATCATGTTACTAAAGATCAAAATTCTATTTCCTTCATTTATATAACTGAAAACAAATCAAGCAATTTAAAAAATTTTTTAAAATCAACTGGTAATCTGTTAGCATATACTTCTCAGAAATGTGCTCTCTAGAGGTGGGAGTTGTATATAGCTAGAAGTCTAATTATATAATGCTTGCTTATAGAACTTTTCTTAAATATTTAAGGGCAAAGCAACTGCTTCTAACAACTTACAAGGATTCTGTGGCTATCACTCTTTCTGCCAACCCATACAATGTATCGCCAGACGTCAAAACCACTAGATGGCTGAGGTGAGGGCTGGGCACTTTCTCCTTTCTCTCTTCTGCTGCTGTGAGTGTGGTGGAAGGGTCAGTTGAAACTTCCTGAAAATACAATATACATTGTATATACAACAGCTAAAGCAGTAAATCTAACAATAATAGACCACAGTAAGAATAGTAATAAATAGTAAAAACCATCATAACAACAACAATAAACCACAGTACAAAAGTTCTGGCAAAACTAGAACTACAATTACAATACTCACAGGTATACATTACACCTACTTTCAGGTTTTTTTCTGATTTTATGTTTCATAACTATTTGAACTTTCTTTTTTATACCAAATGGAAATAATTCTATACATCACATAACACTATACACGACATCATTGTGTGACTGCCAACACAACAAATCTTTACAAATTGAAAGATTATTTCACAGAGACAATAGTGAGATATCCCTTAAGAACTTGCAAATGAGGGAAATGAGACTGTTCCTTGAAGACAAAACTGATAAAATTGTAAAGTATGGTTTGATCAATCATTTCACACCTAAATCTTAATTAAGGTAACCTTGGTATAATCTCAGGAAGAGAGGAGTACAGTGCAATAAAATGAAATAGAATCAACTGTACTGTGTAAGACTGAAGAGAGCTTTGGGATAGGAAAGAAGATGGTCAGTGTGAACAGAGGAAAGTGATGTCCAAAGAGCAGGTGTGCTGGGCTGCTCTATGCTGCCCAGGAGAGAACCAACGGCTTCAGATAAGAAGCCATGTGACAACACAAGTGATGCAGACTACTCCAAAGTCAAGAAACCTTGTTAGACTTCAAGATCTCTGATTTACTTTCTTCTGATGCCATGCTGACTAACAATCTCCTCATTACTAATTATCTTTCCAGGAATTCTGAGGCTGGGCAAGTAGCTTGTGGAATGAGTTGTACACATTCTTAGACTTCACAGAAATATACCCCAGATGATGGGGCACGTGGGAGTGTCTTGAGGTCTTAGGTAAAGAGGTGCTAGACTGGCTAGGTGCAGTAGGTGACAGAGGACTAGAAGAACATCAGCCCAAGTACTAGTCACTCTCCATATTTCAGCAGAGATACATTCAGGTGAAAAGCTTTTCCTTGTGTGGCAAATGTCAAAGGACATTGTTTAGAGCTCTGGTATCACACTGCTTACCTAAATAGTTGCTAGATTCAATGCAGAGTAAAAAAGAACAACTCCATGAAAGCCTGTTCTCAGTAAATGTCTCCTAACAACGCTGATGGCATTATAATCTCATAGTAACCTTGCTACGGAATACTTTTTGAACCAAATTTACTTCTACTAACAAATAGCTTGGATTAAAAATGAAAATGATGACGTGGCAGCAAACTGTATGCACTGCATTTTGGAAAAAAAAATTCAGAAAGAGAAATTTACAAGAATAAAAAAATTCATAGAATGTTATGAAGATATGCTATTATATATATTTTTACCCATCCAATTGTTTAGCAAAAAGTTGACCGAATTATGGAATGGCAGGGGAAGAAGAGATGTCACACATTACGTAATACAACCATTTGCATTTATGAACTACTTTCGGTATGGGAAACATTAAATGGTTATCTCTATTATGGATTTTTCAAAGAAGGTCTGAATGAACAGACAGCACAACTGGAGGTTTAAATGCAAATATAAGTGCTTTACATGACCCTCAAAGGAAATCTAAGCATAAAAGTCAGATGTAAATTAATCTAAAAGTCACCAAAAAATACCAATCTACATTACTGTTGAAGCAATTCTATAATCACATGCCACCAACATTTTTCAGATGAATAAGAGTCAGCAAATGCATAAGACTCTTGTAAAAATATCTTTACTTTTACAAATTTAGCAAAATGGAAATAAAAATGACAAAACCTTCAAAATAGAAATGGCTTTATTCCTCAATTCTATTCCTGATCTTTTCCTAACTATAATGATTCTCTTCCATTTTTCATTCCTTCACTATCATTTAAAAATTATTTTGGGGAATAACGGTTTCTCTAAAGGACCTATGCAAATTAAGCAATGTTGCCTCTCCATTATTTATTTCCCTATACTAAAAAGAAAATAACTATACTCTCCCACCTGCAGACACCATCGCTCCAGCGCCAGGAGAGCCTGCTCGCCTTGACCCAACTCAGGAAGGATGGCCATGCCCTCTCCCACTGGGAGCCACTATCTCTCTGCACCATGAAGGTAGCCACGCGGGCGCCACTGAACCTCCACAACCACCCGCCTCCAGCACATGCACTGTCAGACCTCCTGATTGTGCCAGTCTTTGGACCCACTCTGCAGAGGCAGAGGTGAAAGGGTATTTTTCTGAGTTCCAACCTTTCAACATCTTTAAAAAAAAAAGGGCATGGGAAACCTGTAGTAGAACGGTGTGGAGTTCAACTGTTCAGGAGGTCGGGAACTCAATCTGGCCTTGCAGCCCAAGGTCAGTCTGCATCATGGGGTTCTGCCATCAGGTACCTGAGATCAGGGGTCTTGGTTCTGCACATGGCTGCGCATGTTGTATATTATGACAGCAGAGATATAGTTTGAAAGAGGCCCTTCACATTTTTTTTCTTTTCCTCATTCCACTCTTCAAATTCTTTCTTTTTTCTGACCTCTTTCCCCAACTCAGTCTCTTGCTCCACCATATTATCCCTCATCTCCCTTTCTGTTTCTGCTCCTGCCCTAACTCAGATTTCTTCTTTCATCATTTTTTCTCTTTATGTTCTTTTCTTGTAATTCTACCTCACACAGGAGTCAGTGGGTTCAAGGGAAAGTGAGGCCCTATTGCCGTTAAGGGGATATGTTCTTGTCCTTGTACTTCTACTCTGTCTATCCCTTTCGAATTCAACAGTTTCCTGAATATTGTGTGGTCATTCTATGTACTCTGGCTTCACTTGAAACCTTCTCCAATTCTTTTACTTATCTACTCCTCTCATCCAAGCTCTGTCTGAGCCCCCATCCTAAATGGTAAACATATTACATCGAAAAGATTATCCACTACAGAAAAGTTTTGGACTGCTTCTTGATTTCAATTTAATTCACATGGTTTAACAGTGATAGACTAGTGACAAGTGTTCAGTTTCCAAGTTGTCTTGATCATACTGTGTTGCTGATTGTATCAGTTGGCATAAAGGATTGTGGTTGATTTGATGAGCTGTTTTCTCTGATGTTATGAAAATGAGAATGTCCGTGGGTCATTACAGACAGAGAAGCTAGGGCGCAACTATATCAGGAAGATTTGGGGTGATAACCCAGAGATTAAACCAAGGACAGCCCAACAACAAAAATAAAAATGAGAAAACACTTAAGCAAGACACGAAGACATACTTCCAGTTCACCAATGGCAAACAGTAGGGCAAAGGAGGATGAAAACGCCAATAGTGAAGAACCAGGACAACCTGAATTCAAAGCAGAGGAAGTAATAAAATAGATCAATCAGGCTCTAGAAAAATTCAAAACAGAAATAATTTCCCAAATAACCATAGAGATGGTGAGCAAAATGAAAGTCATGATTTGAGACACTAGAATAGAAGCTGACAAAAAATAGATGAGCTCAGGACCACGATAGAAGCCATGAAGTCACAGAATAAGAAAGAAATGGAAACAATAAACACCCAACATAGGAAAGCAATGGAATCCATAAAACAGATTCAAATAGATATCCAGGAGATTAAACACTCCATTGAAAGTGTACACAACAGAATATAAGAATGAGAAGATAGAATCTCAGATATAGAAGATAAGATTGCAGTCAGTGACCTTAAAAAGAGAGCTCTCTTAAAAACAGTAGGGGATCATTAGAAATTAATCCAACAACTCCTAGATGATACAAAGAAGAATAACATAAGACTGATAGGAATCCATGAAGTAGCAGGAGAAAAATACAAATGACTTAAACAAGCTGTTTACAGAATTAATGACAGAAAACTTCCCAAACAGGGGAAGAATTTGACATTCAGATAAGTGAGGCATATAGAATCCCAGTCACAATAAAAAAAAAATCTACACCTAGACATATAATAATCAAGATCCAAAAAACCCAACAGAAGAACAAAGTACTACAAGCAGTAAGAGAAAAGAAACAAACCATGTGCAAAGGAAAGCCCATCAGAATCACACAGACTTTTCAACACAAACTCTTAGGGCAAAGAGAGCCTGGAGTGAGATATTTCAAGTACTAAAAGAGAACAACCTCCAACCTAGACTGATGTATTCTGCAAAACTCTCTTTCAAAATGGATGGGGAAATAAGGTACTTCCACGACAAAGAACACCTCAGAAACTACATGAACACCAAACCAGCACTACCAGCAATTCTAAACAATATCCTAGAAAAAGACAATGAAGATCACAACACCATGAGGCCTAACAGAGCAAATCAAATAGGCAAGGCAAGAAACTAAAAGGAGAAGGGGAAAAAGTAAAAAGAGTCAACAAAAGGACAATAACATAATGATAATAAGTCAGTAAATATCAGTTATAACCATCAATGTCAATGGCCTCAACTAACCAATCAAGAGAAACAGACTGGCAGAATGGATTAAGAAGCAAAATCCAACAATATGTTGTATACAAGAAACACACCTACTGCAAAAAAAAGCCCATAGACTGAAAGTAAAAGGATGGAAAACAATTCTCCATGTGACAGGAGCCCAGAAAAAAGCAGGGGTAGCAATCTTATTTGCAGACAAAGTACATTTCAGGCCAAAATTGATTAAGAGACAAAGAAGGCTACTACATCCTCGTAAAGGGAACAATTCAAGAGGAAGAGAGGAAAATCATAAACATATATGCACCAAATATAAATAACCCCAACAATATAAAACAAATATTAAGTAACATGAAAAACTAAATAAGCACTAATACAATTGTAGTGGGGGATCTAAATACCCCCCTTTACAAACAGACAGATCATCTAGGTGAAAAGTCAACAATGAAATACTAGAATTGAACCAAGCTATTGAAAGAATGGATTTAATAGACGTTTATAGAGTATTCCACCCCAGAAAATCAGAATATACATTCTTTTCGGCTGCACATGGGTCATTCTCCAGGATAGATCACAGAACAGGTTT